GCCTGGAACTCCCGGGCTCAGGTGATCCAACTGCTTCGGCCTTCCAAGTAGCTAGAACTACAGGTGTGCACCACCACACCTGGCTAATTTTTTGCTTTCTGTAGATATAGGGTTTCACTAAATTATACCCAGGCTGGTCTTGAACTCCTGGCCTCTGGCCCTTATTTCTTTTTCTTTTTTTTTTTAAATTAACTCTTAGTTTTGTACATCTTTTCTATTATTTTTCTAGTCTCTATTTCATTTATTTTGGACCTTGACTGGTCAAGGCTGCAGTGAGCCAAGATTGCACCACTGTACTCCAGCCTGGGTGACAAAGTGAGACCATCTCTCAACAACAACAACAAAAAAAAAAAAAAAGAAAAGAAAAGAAAAGAAAAAAAAAACTGTCCCATTTACAATAAAATCAAAAACAATAAAATATTTAGGAATACATTTAACAAAGAAGGCAAGAAGTCTATATGCTGAAAACTATAAGACAGTGACAAAGGAAACTGAAGACACAAATAAATTGAAAGATACCCTATGTTTATGGATGGGAAGAATTAATATTGTTAAAATGTCCATATTACCCAACGTGATCTGCAGAGTCAATGTAATCCGTATCAAAATTTCAATGGCATTCTTCACAGAAATCAAAAAAGCAGGCCAGATGCAGTGGCTCACGCCTGTAATCCTAGCACTTTGGGAGGCTGAAGCAGGTGGATCGCTTAAGCCCAGGAATTTGAGACCAGCCTGCACAACATGGTGAAAACCTGTGTCTACAAAAAATACAAAAGTTACCTGGATGTGGTGGTGCACACCTATATTCCCAGCTACTTGGGAGGCTGAGGTGGGAGGATCATCTTAACCCCAGGGAGGTCGAGGCTACAGGGAGCCATGATTGTACCACTGCACTCCAGCCTAGGTGGCAGAGGGAGACCCTGTCTCAAAAAAAAAAAAACAAACAAACAAAACCAAATTCATATAGAAGCACAAAAGATCCTGAATAGCCAAAGCAATCTTGAGAAAGAAGAACAAAGCGGAAGGCATCATGCCTCCTGATTTCAAAGCAAATTGCAAAGCTATAGTAAACTGAAATGGTATGGCACTGGCATAAAAACAGGCACACAGATCAATGAAACAAAATAGCCCAGAAACAAAGGCATTTATATATGGTCAACTAATATTTGACTAAAGTGCCAAGAATACACAATGAAGAAAGGACTCTCTTCATAAAGGGTGTTGGCAAAACTGAATATTCACATGTAAAAGAGTGAAATTGAACCCTTATCTTACATCATTCACAAAAATTAACTTGAAATGGATTAAACACTTAAGCGTAAGATGTGAAACCATAAAACTCCTAGAAGGGAAAATAGGGAAAAACTTCTTGACATTGGTCTTGGCAATAACTTTTTAGATGACACCCAAAACACAAGCAACAAAATCAAAAATGAGTAAGTGGGACAACATCAAACTAAAAACCTTCTGTACAGCAAAGGAAACAATCAACAAAATGGAAAGGAAATCTACAGAATTCAGCAAAATAATTGCAAACCTGGAAAGGGGTTAATATCCAAAATGTAAATGGAACTCATACAACTCAATAGCATAAACCAAACAACAACAAAAAAGAAACAAATGATTTAAAAATGGGCACAAGGACCTGAATAGTCATTTCTCCAAAGAAAACAATACAAATAGCCAACAGGTACATAAATCGGTGCTGAACTGATCAGGGAAGTGCAAATCAAAACCACAATGAGATATCACCTCACTCCTGTTAGGCTGGCTATTGTCAAAAAGACAAGATGACAAATGTTGGTCAAGATATGGAGAAAGGGAGTCCTTTCACAATGTCAGTGGGAATGTAAATTGATATAACTATTATGAAAAAAAGTATGGAGATTCCTCAAAAAAATTAAAAATAGAGGTACCAGCCAGGCATGGTGGCTCATGCCTGTAATCCCAGCACTTTGGGAGACCAAGGCGGGTGGATCAGCTCATGCCAGGAGTTCGAGGTCAGCCTGACCAACATGGTGAAACCCCATCTCTACTAAAAAGACAAAAATTAGCTGGGCAAAGTGGCGGGCACCTGTAATCCCAGCTACTCGGGAGGCTGAGGCAGGAGAATCGCTTGAACCTGGGAGGCGGAGGTTGCAGTGAGCCAAGATTGCGCCACTGCATTCCAGCCTGGGCAACAGAGTGAGAGCCTGTCTCAAAAAAGAAAAGAAAAGTGCCGTACAATCCACCAATCCTACTGGGTATATATCAAAAACAACTGAAATCAGCGTAACAAAGAGATATCTGCATGCTCTTGTTCACTGCACCATATTCACAATAGCCAAGACATGGAAACTACCTAAGTGTCCATCGACAGATGAATACATAAATAAAGATATATATGAATATTATTCAGCTATATGAAGAAGAAAATCATGCCATTTGTGACAACATGGATGAACCTGAATGACATTATGCTAAGTTGCTAAATGAAGTAAGCCAGACATAGGAAGACAAATACTGTATGATCTCACTTATATGTGGAATCTAAAAAAATTGAACTCATAGAAATACAGTAGAATTGTTGCCAGAGGCTGGGGCCAGTGGGGAAGAGGGAGATGTAGATCAAAAGGTCCAAACTTTGAGTTATAAGATGAACAAATTCTGGGGACTGAATGTTCAGCATGAGTGGTGATGGATATATTCATTAATTTAATTGTGATCATCATTACACAACAGAGATAAATCATCAGGCTGTATACCTTGAATGTATACAATCTTTATTTGTCAATTAAATTTGAAAATAATTTTAAAGAAGCTTTTCTAGGCTGGACACAGTGGCTCACACTTGTAATCCCAACACTGGGAGGTTGAGGCCAGAAGTCCAAGACCAGTGCCTAGCAACACAGAAAGACCTCATCGCTACCAAAAAAAAAAAAAAAAAAAGGCAAGAGGTTTCTCTGGTCCAGAGAAAATATAAAAACCAGCAAGAATCAATCAGCCAGTTTCCAGTTGTATCAGCATCTGAGAAAATTGGAGTTGTTATTTTTATTTATTTTTTAGTTTTGTAGTTTCCTGGGCCAAAGTAACTGAAATGCTCAAAGTGAAGTTCCATGAGGGTGTGAAAAGGGCTGGTAGTCTCCCAGGATATCAACCTGTTAGTAACCTTGACCAACGTGGTTAACAGAATGTACACGAAATGCACAGAGGTTATAATATAGATTTGTCACTAGTTCTAAATATAGTTCTCTAAATCTTACAGCAGTAATCACTACTGCAACTGCTCATATTTGAGGTCAGAGAAATCAGGAAACATAGATACATGATTGATAGATAGATAGTCACAAAGTAGAGAGATGGGCTGGACATGGTGGCTCATGCCTGTAATCCCAACATTTTGGGAGGCCGAGAAGGCAGATCACTTGAGGCCAGTCTGGCCAACATGACAAAACCCCATTTCTACTAAAAATATTAATGCAAAAAAAATTTGGCCTGGCGTGGTGGCACACGCCTGTAATCCCAGCTACTCAGGTAGCTGAGACATAAGAATCACTTGGCCGGGCGCGGTGGCTCATACCTGTAATCCCAGCACTCTGGGAGGCCGAGGCGGGCGGATCATAAGGTCAGGAGATCGAGACCATCCTCGCTAACACGGTGAAACCCCGTCTCCACTAAAAATACAAAAAATTAGCCCGGTGAGGTGGCGGGCGCCTGTAGTCCCAGCTACTCAGAGGCTGAGGCAGGAGAATGGCGTGAACCCGGGAGGCGGAGCTTACAGTGAGCTGAGATCGTGATCTGCACCCCAGCCTGGGCAACAGAGCAAGACTGTCTCAAAAACAAAACAAAACAAAAAACAAAGTAGAGATCCAGGATTGGAATCAAAACTGTGCTGAAATCCCTCCTCTTCCATTTACTGGTTATGTGGGCATGTTGGTGTGCCTATGTAAAAAATAAAAGAGATGGCTGGGTGCAGTGGCTCACGCCTGTAATCCCAAAACTTTGGGAGGCTGAGGCAGGCAGATCATGAGGTCAGGAGTTTGAGACCAGCCTGGCCAACATAGTGAAACCCCGTCTCTACTAAAAATACAAAAAATTAGCCAGGTGTGATGGCAGGCGCCTGTAGTCCCAGCTACTTGAGAGGCTGAGGCAGGAGAATCGCTTGAACCCAGGAGGTGGAGGTTGCAGTGAGCTGAGATCAAGCCATTGTACTCCTGCCCAGGCGAAAGAGCAAGACCCCATCTCAAAAAATAAATACCATAAAATAGATAAGGATTGTAAAGTAGATAACATAGTAACTGGCACAGAAAGTCTTAAATATAGTTCTCTTCCCTATGTTAGCTTTTAGATGTACCTAATTTTTCAAAACACCCAAGCATCGACATTCCTATTAGGAAAAGGCTCATGTTTCTTGTTGCTGTAAATATTTGGTCATTCACTTATTCATTTACTCAGCAAACATTTATTGACCAACCACCATGTGTCAGGCATTGTACTGGTTTCAGGGACCATAGGGATAAAGAAACATGATTCCTGCCCTCTGAGGTCTGGCCTGGAATTTGACCTCTGTTTTCTTCTTTATTCCAGTCGTCTTAAACTCTGCACTTTGTTCTGTGTTAAAGAATAACTATGTCACACATTGAGGGCTTGAGTGAGAGGGAGTGATCCAGAGAGTCACGAGAACAGTCCTTGGGCATCAGAAGGGCTCCTATATACTAGGAGAGAACCTCTGTAGTCCACCTTGCTACAAAGGTGTCAGATTCCTGGTTGAAATATAAAGGGAGCATTCTAAACAGAGTTTCTTCAAAATACAAAAAGGTTGCTCTGTGTGTAGAGCTCTCTATCTCCAGGGAGCCTTGTGTCTTGTTTAGCATTATCACTTAAGCACCAAAACCTAGAACAGTTCCTGGTATATAATAGGCACACAATAAATATTTGTGAAATAGATTAACGAATTATATAAGTTCACTTCAGTATAAAGCCATATATATGTGCCCAACATCCAGCATATCATCCTGCAGGTCAGGGCGTGTCCCTGTACATTCCTCAGGCCACCATCAATGCCACCGTCAAAGAAGACATCCTGCTCTCAGTTGAGTACTCCTGTCACGGAGTGCCCACCATTGAATGGACGTATTCGTCCAACTGGGGAACGCAGAAGATCGTGGAGTGGAAACCAGGGACTCAGGCCAACATCTCCCAAAGCCACAAGGACAGAGTCTGCACCTTCGACAACGGCTCCATCCAGCTCTTCAGTGTGGGAGTGAGGGATTCCGGCTACTATGTCATCACCGTGACGGAACGCCTGGGGAGCAGCCAGTTTGGCACCATCGTGCTGCACGTCTCTGGTAAGACATCCCCGGGCCCCGGGCACCCCTCTGAACGGTGAGTGTGTGGGAGGTCGATTTCACAATATTAAAAGAAATGTTGTATTCCCCCTTCCCTCACCCTCACTCCATAGAGATCCTCTATGAAGATCTGCACTTTGTCGCTGTCATCCTTGCTTTTCTCGCTGCTGTGGCCGCAGTGTTAATCAGCCTCATGTGGGTTTGTAATAAGTGTGCATATAAATTTCAGAGGAAGAGAAGACACAAACTCAAAGGTAACTCCCTGGGCCTTGTGATAATCCATGAGTGGTTTTGAGGCCAGAGGTGGCATGTGTTACCTTGTTCTCACCAAGAAAGCACTATGTGGCTTGATTTCCAACTCATTGACTTGTCTTTGTTTTACAGAAAGCACAACTGAGGAGATTGAGCTGGAAGATGTTGAGTGTTAGCCAAGGCTGGGCCGAACTGCATTCCTACCTCAAGAGGAAACCATTCTCCAACAAAAAGAGCAAGCACAGCTATTATACCCATTGTGTGTGGTCCTGTTGCAGCCCGCTCCTGACAGGACAGCAGGAGATTAACAACATTGACTGCATGGAGTTGAGGACTGTGGATGGACAAAGCTAGTTTTAGGACTCACGCCAAGTTCAAGGAGAAGAGCGATTGAGGCCTTGAACCAGGAGCTTTGCTTGGCTGCAGCGTCACAGCTGTGCTGACCCATAACCAATGGGCGAGTGCACGCGTTGGCTGCTTGCTCACGACACTCACTCTGGCGTGCAGGATGGCCTGTTGTCAGAGTCCCTGTATCAGAGGCCAGAGGATTCCCAGATGGGTGTGCAGCCAGCATTAGAACATGCTTTCTGTGCTCCTATCTGCTCTGCAACTGCTGTGCCTACCAGTCCCCCATCTGGTATCCCACAAGCAAGCATGATTGTGGGAGCTATCGTGAGAAAACCTGAGGCTTTCAGACAATCTGCTGCCTCAGAGCAGAGGTGAAGAGACTGGGGGTGGGGGTTGGTGCTGTTGTGCTGCAGTGAGCTGCTCAGAGGTGAGGCCCGGTGGCTGGGAGTTTTATGGGGGAGGAGCTCAGTGGACTCCTGAGAGGCCAGCTTTGCATACAAGGAATAGAGAGAAAATTATCTTTCTCTTCCTCCCTCATTCCAACATTAATTGGATTTTCCCTCCCATGGCTCAAATTTAGGCCACTGTAAGTAAAACAACAGCTCATCTCTGCTATGGGCAGCACCTGGCCTCCTGAAGCGCTGGATGCCACCTGTGTGAAAGCTGAGCTTGCACAGTGGGTGATGCAGCTGGAAAATCAGTCATCTCGGGCTTTGGATCTGTCCCCCTCAGTCACTAACGCTTCACGTCTCAAGTCAGGCCCTTGCCCTCTCCTACCTGGGCTGAGGAACGCTTGGCCTTTGCCTACCTCACAGTCAGGGTATCAAGAGAAGCCCACAGTATGCACAGAGTTCTCTGAGCAACTTATGAAAAGCATGAGGCTTCAAGGATCTGGAAAGCTATACTGGAAAATGCTATTCTGAGTATTAGAAATTGATAAAATCACCTAAGGTCTTGGGGCTCCAGGTGAGACTGAGGACTGGACCACAGCTGGCTGTGGCCATTATTCCCTCAGGTTGTTGGTCACCATGTTCACCTGTTTCTTCATCCCAACTTCCATTTGACAAGCTCTAAATGGAGGCATGGATTTATCTTCTATTCTCTTCTCTCTCCAATATTCATAGCTACAGACCAAAAGTACCACCCAATGATGATGTGTTCCTAGTCTTCAGCTGCAAAGTCACCCATGCAAAGGTCAAGAAGTGCTAGAACATTCCTTTCTCTTCTCCCTCCTTTCAGGTCTCCAATGTCCATATCTTCTCTATGTCCTATGTGGCACAGAAGGATTTGCTTGGATAAGTTACAACCCTTTCCCTCAATATTGAATCCAGAGTTGTGGGAAGGGATCTCTCAGAATATTCAGACAGGAACTGTCAGTATCCAGAGCAGGACTCCCACAGCACTGCTTGATTCAAAAGGCGAGAGCAGTTGGTCTACACAACAGATGTGTAGCTCTAGCACCTGATAGATAGAAGATACACTCAAGGTGCCTCCTGTAGATACATGTGTAAACTCACACACTGTGCCCTTTCCCCATGCAGCAGTCAAATGAACCAGGCCCTGGGCCAGGACAGTTTCCAGTGCTATGAAGAAACGAGGTGAGGAGTATCCAAGGGGCTCAAGGATAATCTGCTGATTTCTTTCTCGTCTTTCACACAGAGAAGCCACCAGGAGGAAAGCAGTAGGAGCTGGGTGGCTGCTGGGGGCAGCATGTCCTCTTCCACACTACCTGCCTTTCAGAACTCTGCTCTTTCACTTGTCCGAAGTCAGGGCTGGCAATCTTCATAATCAAAGGGGAGTTGGAAAAGAACACCACTGAGAGGCCTCCACGGCAGATGTCAATTAAATTGCCCCCCAAAATCTCATGACAGTTTATTCACATCAGTAGTGTGGGAAGTTACAATTTTTTTTTTAAAAAAGCTTCTTTCCCTGGCTTTCCATTTCTTTGAAAAAAGGGTTTCTTTTGAATTTTTAAAGCTCTGCCATCCTGAACATTCCTGTGGAAAGTTTTAAAATCCAAAGCCTGAGGTTTTTATTTTTCAAATAAATAAAAATCACAGAGAATAGCTAGTGTAAATGTTAAGCTATAAATGATGTTTCAAACTGTGAAAAAAAAAGTGTTTTAAAGAATGAATGAAATAAAACCTGAAAATCAAGTCCTCATCCTTTGTGTGTGTGCCTGCTCCTGCCGAAAAATCAGAGGCTCTGGGTGCTGTGTCCTGTCAAGCTGAGCATAAACAAAACCCTTAATCACAGCCAGGTCTGGCACATATTTTAAGAGACAATGCAACTAATTACACTGGTTCTAACAGTAAACATTATTTAGCAATTCAGAAAAACTACACCTTATCAGCACCACCTCTCCCCCAATTGTAGCTAGAAGACCAATTTGAAATTTATGTTTTCAGAATATTAACTGCAATTCAATAGCATTCTTCCTGCTTCTGGAATGGACCAAAAGTAGGAAGTGACGATTGTACCACTTGTTCAGCAATGGATAAGACACCCTACAGAACACACATGCTTTGTCAACAGACTGTCCTTTCAGAGGTTATGATCTTAGAACCCCAAAAGGTATATATTGTACTTTCTCATTTTATGGCGTTGCGGGTATGCAAGGAGAGCTCATGTCCTCTGAAGGTCACGTAAGATGGTAAATACCTGAGAGCATTTTGTGCTTACTCCGATTTGAAGCAATACCTCACAAAGGTGAGAAGCAACAGCAGTGAGAGAGGTGGTTATCGGGATATCTTGCCCCAGGCAAGAACGCAGACAGAAACCCTACAATTCCGAAGAACTGGGTAAGTGTAACAAGGGATTGAGAAGAGATGGCAGAATAGAATGCTGGAGAGGTAACCAGGACAAAGGAGCCAAATATGATAGGGTGAATCCCCAGGGACATGATTCACATGCTGCCTCCTTGACAACACTGAAGAGGATACTGGGAGAAGTGGAAACTGTCTCACCGGCATCAGCTTTTACATATCCAGCATAAGTTTCTTCTGCCCAGTTTCCAGGGAAGCATCAGACACATCCATAGCTTACTAAAAGCAGAGCAAATCCTTGTGATCACTGTTAGCACATCTATCCCCAATTCAATTCCCATTAATGGTGTGAGTTGCCAGCGTTTGCATCTCTCTGCACCCCTGAATCCACCCAACCTGGCTGTCAGCTTTTCCAATTCTTGAGGAGAACATTTCCACTGCCCTTTAAAAATTAAGTGGGCATTTTTGGTTTGGCTTACAGAGGTGATAAATCCTTCTTTAAAATTCAAATGTCACTAAAGTCTATATATATTAAAGTAAAAGTATCTTTGGCTAGAGTTAATTAACAAAAACTAAATAAAGTAAAAGATCTCTCTCCTTCCCTCAATCCAGAGGAAACAACAGTCAAATTTGGTGTGTATCCTTCTAGACTTGCTTATGCATATATGAACATATCTGTGTATATATATATGCCAAATATACATATTTAACCTATTTTCTTTATAGTCAAATGGGATTCTATCATATATATTACCCTACAACTCACCAGTCTTTTCTTAATGTGTCTTGGGCATTATTTCATGTCTACCTATTCCAAAACTTCATTCTTCTTGCCTATACAAATGCAGTCCATAGTATGAATACACTATTGGTTTTTTTTTTACAGAGTTTTGCTCTTGTCACTCAGGCTGGATTGCAGTGGTGCCATCTTAGCTCACTGCAACCTCCGCCTCCCAGGTTCAAGCAATTCTCCTGCCTCAGCCTCCCAAGTAGCTAGGATTACAGGCGTGCACCACCATGCCCGGCTAATTTTTTTATTTTAGTAAAGACAGGGTTTCACCATGTTGGTCAGGCTGGTCTCGAACTCCTGACCTCAGGTAATCAGCCTGCCTCAGCGTCCCAAAGTGCCGGGATTACAGGCATGAGCCACCGTGGCCAGCTGGGTATTTTTGAACACACTGTAATTGTTTGTTCACTGAAAAATCATTTTTTATTTCAAATGATATAAACAAAAATCATCTTAGGCAAACTTACTATTGTATCAGGCTAGTTCCTTCAACCAAGATGGCTTCTGCCTGTTAAGTAATGCATTCAATTCTATCTCCTGTGAATCTCTTGGTCTTTTAGGGAATTCAATGTTCCACGATTTCGGTGGGTTTTACCGAGTATTGGTGGAAGATTTTTTGGAGATTGAGTATTGGTGGGAAAGAGGGTAATGATAACGTAAAATAAATCTAAAGTTTTAGTGTTAGATTTGGTTTTATAAAGTAACATTATCAAACCAAACTGGGGTCTGCTCACCTGGCACAGCAAAGCCAAGCACTGACGTTGGGACTGCAGCAAGAGAAGTGAGGTATTTATTGTAGGGCACCGAGCAAGAACTCCAACTCCTCAATGGCTTACAGGTAAGGGTTTTAAAGGTGGGGAGGCAAGGCCAGGTACAATGGTTCACACCTGTAATCCTAGCACTTTGGGAGGCCAAGGTGAGAGTATCCTTTGAGCTGGTTTGAGACCAGCCTGGCCAACATAGTGAGACCCTGACTCTACAAAATATTTTTAAAAATTAGACAGATGTGTTGGTGCATACCTGTAGTCCCAGCTACTTGAGAGGCTGAGGCAGGAGGATTACTTGAACCCAGGAGGTTGAGGATGCAATGAGCAGCTGATTGCACTACTGCACTCTAGCTTGGGTAACAGAGCAAGACCCTGTCTCAAAAAACAAAAACAAGAAAACCCCAAAAAACCCACAAAGGTGGAGAGGCAGAGGTTACAGGCAAAGTCATAAATCAATACATGCAGGAGGCTGTACATTGGTTTGATCTAAAAGGTGGGATATCTCGAAGCAGGGCCCAACAGGTCATAGGTGGATTCAAAGATTTTCTGATTTGCAATTGGCTAAGAAGCTTTGTCTAAAACTTGGGTCAACAGAAAAGAATGTTAGCTCCAGCTCACAGGCTTGACCTCCTCCAGGCCCCTCAGGAAGAAATTCAGAACAAAGAACAGCAGTGCAAGTTGTCCTTGCTTATCTGAGGCCCACATGACAGCAAATCCACTTGGTGGGGATCTGAGATTCTGAAAACAACTCAGGGTCATATTTTAAGATGTTATCTTTAGTTTCTATAGGGAACCAAGCATCTGGACTCTTAACTTCCTTGGCAATTGTTTTACGTTACTATTATCTTCTTGCTTATCAAGTTGCTTGTTTATATCTCAGGACTACCCCGGAACCTCGAAGGAATTCAAGATTTTCCTTTATTTTCATGCTCAGGGCGCCCACAGGCCTTTAAGAAGGGGTTCCTGCTCCATCTCACACACACACCTAGGTTAAATTCCTTTGATATTACAGGCTCGTGCTTGTCCAGGTAGTTCCGTCTGTAAAAATATTTTTCCCTCAGGTGCCTCATGTTCTGAATGGATTTTTTTCCTACTAAACAAAGTGGACTTACTAAATAATTTAGTTGCCCCTGTTTTTATTCATCAGCAATATCTAAGGAGGCCAGGCGTGGTGTCTCATACCTGTAATCCCAGCATTTAAGGGCCAATTACAATTCCAGATCAACATGAGATAATCAGGTTATCACTCTGATTTGATGGTATTCCAGCAAAGAAATCTGATGAAAAGCACTCAATATCTTCACTATATATAAAACATCACGCAAATGTGAATACATGACATTCTGAAATGCTTTCTCCTAATAGAGCTGGTGTCTCAACCATTTTTTCTAATTGGCTTGACTCTTAGAAGCACACTTGCTTAATGCTTTATATTTACGTAGCACTTTAGAATTTAACATTTATTACCAACCTTATTGAAACTTCTCAACCACCACTGAGGTTAGTAGAGGAGGCATCTCTATCTTCATTTATATATAAGGAAACAGATTCAAAGAGAAACGTTGCCAAGTTCATACAGCAAGCCAGTAATAGAGCCAAGATTCAAACACAGCTCCTTGCCAACCTGTTAATACTTGTTTAGGGGCTAACTGGTTTTCTTCAAACTGTCTCCCAAGTTTCCACAGCACATCCTTCAAACTCCAGGAAATTCAGGTTAAAACATTAAACTAGAAAATGTAAATAAACATAAGGCACAAGAATTGCTACCACAGCAACTAAGCTACCATTTTCCCACACATTTGCTTTAGTTTCTACAGTTCTTTAGGTGGGTACTGGCTATTCACTACAGCGATGTGACCAAACAGGGAAAGTAAGATATGAAGACCGTAAAGTCTTTAGTTATCCCAGTCTACTCAGATGGGGTTTAAAAGAACAGATGGTAGTATCTGCACACGTATTCTCAGCCATTCTACTCAAAGTGTGGTCCTGGTCCATCAATTGTTACTGATTCATGACAAGCAGAGAAATAAAAAATAAAGCATTCAGAAATGTTTATATTTGCGGGGCCTGGGCACTGTGGCTCATGCCTGTAATCCCAGCACGTTGGGAGGTCAAGGGCGGATCACTTGAGGCCAGGAGTTCAAGACCAGCCTGGCCAACATGGCAAAACCCTGTCTCTTATCAAAAATACAAAAATTAGACGGCCGTGGTGGCACACACCTGTAATCCCAGTTACTTGGGAGGCTGAGGCATGAGAATCACTTGAACTGAGGAGGCAGAGGTTGCAGTGAGCCAAGATAGTGCCGCTGCACTCCAGCCTAGATGACACAGTGAGACTCTGTCTATAAATTTTAATATTTGATGCAATTTAATTAGGTTATAATCAAATAAATGGGGCTTTTATTTTGGATCATTTCAAAATTTCATTTTAGGAATTCATTTTTATTAGTTTACCAAAGTATCAATCTACAATGGTAGAAGTTTACATAAACAAAAACTGGTCATTCAGCAAAAGTCTCAGACTCACTCTACTAGTGTGAGCCTTCGAAATCACATAAAAGACTCCTCATGTGAACGGAATTGTACAGATTAGCCTATTAGCCAAAGCAAATTTTGTGGGCAACAGTAATTTTTGAAGCACTCAAGATTTTTAAATAACCGCAAATTCACACCAATTATTTTAATTTCCATGGATAGAAAGATGCAAGATCTTGATCAGAAGGGGAAAAAAGCACAAAGTTGTTCTATCATGGCCCACAAGCTCCATTTTTCTTTAATGAAAACACGGTGGAGAAATACAAAGGAATTGTATTACTGCACAGTCATCTTACAAATTGTTAAAGCAGGATGTCTGTTTTAAAAATTGAAAGACTTACTTATAAGGAGACCTCACCTATATGATATTACTTTCAGTGGTACCAAAAGGTTTATAAGCCTAAATCTATCTCATATTAATGGGCACACTTTAGGCACTATTTCCAAGAAGTGTAAACCTGTTCCTTGGAAAAGATAATCCACTAATGCATTAGTTTTTTCCCTTTGAAAAAGCAGAGAGCTAATGGAAAGGCCTTAATTGGAGAAAGCAATCCAGGGCTGCTGGGTGGAGGCTGGAGAATCCCAGGTGGAAGATTGGGCATGAGCCATGCACTAGGTGTCTCAAGTGATGAAGTCATTCAAGCGGGAGAACAGACCAAAAAATCTTGATGCCCTAAAGAGATAATCTGCCTCCTATGCCTTCAGCTGTCCTTTCTGAGGATGTTCTTAAATTACCTATGTAGGTTAGACCCAGGCAAGCTTAAAGCAGACAACTGGAGGTTAGAGAGTAGAGAGTTTAGAGAGTAGGCTGGGCATAGTGGCTCACACCTGTAATCCTAGCACTTTGGGAGGCAGAGGCAGGTGGATCACTTGAGCCGAGTTGGAAACCAGCCTGGGCAGCATGGAAAAACCCTGTCTCTACAAAAAATACAAAAATTAGCCAGGCATGGTGGTGCATGTGTGTGGTCCCAGCTACTCGGAAGGCTGAGACAGGAGGATTACCTAAGCCCGGGAGGTCAAGACTGCAGTGAGCCATGATCACACCACTGCACTCCAGACTGGGCTACAGAGTGAAATCCATCTATTTAAAAAAAAAAAAAAAAAAGGTTAGGAAGTATTTGGGGGAAGAAAAAGTATTTGGAGATTTTTAAAACCACACACTTTATGTGATGTCCACATCAAAGAAGGAATATTTAAAAAGCAAATAGAAACACTTCAGTTAGTAATATTTTAAACTGCATGAAAAACGTATTATTTTACATCTTGTCATACTGTATATACAACTGTACATAAACTTCTGCATTTCAAAGCACTTATCATTTATAAAGTGAAAAGTTTCAAAGTGCTAAATAAACATTTCCTAATTATTGTTTTTAAAAACAGCACTCCTTTGGAAGTTATCTCTTCTTTGTACTTATAGTTGATCTGCAAACATTTCAAGTCAAAGTTTCTGGAAACTTCTTTAGGAAACATCTGGAAAAAATCATAGTAGACAAGGGCTAAGTGCAGACATAAGCAGCTCCATTTTATAAACAAAGTTTCGACCTTCCATTTTATTCCACTGAACTTCTTTGAATGGTCCACGAAGATGACTCCATTTGTTATCTTGTAAAACATCACTTTTTGGAAGGTCTTTACATTGGTTACGAGGAAACTGAACCATAATCTTGCTGCCACTTTCAGGTCCATTACGAACTGTGGAGAAAAACCAAAATATCAATACACTCTAGTTTACCAAACTAGAAATAACAAGGATAAATCCCATAACTTCATTCTACTGTGAATACAAAAACTCTGTCTGCCAACTTAAATATTCTTGTTAAAAAGTGCTTTTTCAGTTTCAACATGCAAGAAAAAAAAATTCTAACTTCTATATAAGAGGATGGTATAAATATGCAGGAGTTATTATTTGTACCACAAAGATTAAGCAAGATGAGTTTTGACCTAGGAATGTCAAATGTCCTCTATAATTTCAGGAAATCCCTTTTTGTTTATTTCCACATGCAGCACTGAAAAACATACAAAGCTTTTTTAGGAAGGCAGTTAAAAACAAGGTCTCACTATGTTGCCAGGGCTGGTCTCAAACTCCTGGGCTCAAGCAATCCTCCCACCTCAGCCTCCCAAAGTGCTGGGATTACAGGCGTGAGCCACCACACCTACTTGATATTCACCTATTTTTTTCAATACATTCCTTTGATAATGTAATCATTCAATGAATTGTTAATACATGCCTAATATGTAATGAAACCTCAACCACTTAAAATCAGGACTGAAAGGGATGAAGGAAAGATTATTCTGAATTAAGAATTTCAGGTTTTAATGAGGTTTTAACTATTACTTGGGAAAGAAGAAAAGGGTATTTTTAAATTCCTAGCAATCAAGATCCAGCAATGACCAAGCTTGCAGATTCACAAGCTGTGATCCTGTGGGGAAATATTTCTAACTACCCACTCTTTCAAATATAGTCATGAGCTGCGTAACATTTCAGTCAACTGCTTTTGTTGTGTTACAACTGTCTAGAGTACTCAGTATAGTAACATGCTGTACAGGTTTGTAGACTAGGAGCAACAGACTATGCCATGAAGCCTAGATGTGTATGTAGTAGGCTGTACCATCGAGGGCTGTGTAAGTGCATTCTATTATCACACAATGAAATCCTCTAACAAGACATTTCTCAGAACCTGTCCCTGTCGCTATGCAACACATGACTATTTTTAAAGTAGTCAGAGCAGATATTAGAAATGAAGATCACCCTAAAATCGTAAGTGCTTCAAATGTAAATTTAAGGTATGTAATACTCATGCAAGTGCCTATTACGGTGCCTACTCGTAGAAGGTGCTTAATAAAATACTTCTCCTCGGCCAGGTGCAGTGGCTCGTGCCTGTAATCCCAGCACTTTGGGAGGCCGAGGTGGCCGGATCATCTGAGGTTAGGAGTTCGAGACCAGCCTGGCCAACATGGCAAAACGCTGCCTCTACTAAAAATACAAAAATTAGTCAGGTGTGATGATGGGCACCTGCAGTCCCAGCTACTCGGGAGGCTGAAGCAGGAGAATCGCTTGAAACTGGGAGGCAGAGGTTGGGGTGAGCCGAGATCACGCCACTGTACTCTAGCCTGAGCGACAGAGCAAGACTCCGTCTCAAAAATAAATAAAATAAAATAAAACAAAACAAAATACATTATTTAAAATGTTTTTATTTAAAAAATTTTTAAAACTGTTACTATTTTTTTATATGAAAAAAATAGTATCTTGCATTAGATACTATTAGATACTCCTCTCTCTTCCATCCCTTTACTATTTGTAGGAACAGATATTTTTCTTCCCATGTTTACAGCAGTATATTTTTTAAAAGTTTTTATCCATTAAACTTTGGGACTGCAGGAGTAACAATGTTGATGACACTTTTCAGACTATCTCAGGAAAATGTGCTGCCAATCTAAACATTTGTTATAATTACTAGAAAGAGAAATAATAATCTCTTGCTCTGAATAATAGCTATGATCAAATAAACATTCAGTGTAAATACAACATTAACTAATTTATTGCAGAGATGAATTACTCTTACCAATATTTAATTATTAAAACTAAACGTTAAAGCCAAACTCCCAGTGGTCCCTTCTCATTCAAAGCAGCAGAAAGTACCTGAAATAGCATAGTCCCCACTCGGGGAGGCCACCGTGATGGCAGATGCATTACCAATGCTCTCTATGGGCCCAAGTCCTACATGATTACTGAAGCTCAGTACTTGCCAGCCCATAACCTTGGCGAGTTGCTGAACCGCATGTACCTGGTGCTGTGACATCTGTGAACGAAAAAGGACACTTGACTGACAACCAGCAGAGATATGTGCAGTGACCTAACATCACGACCATAAAGTAAACTTTTGTAGGGGTGCTGACTGACTAGTACAGCAACCCTATCTTAGGTCTGAGGAATCCTCCTGTGTGTAATGTAAGGGGAGGGAATAAGACTCCACCTTCCACTGCAAAAGCAAAAGTTGCCTGATACTTGCTTCTCCTGCCCACTGGCAGCTTAAGCACAGACATGCGACATAAATTTGGCCAACTGAAGGCTCCTGTCTAGATCACTGAATAGAGTGCAACATTTACCCCTTCAAATCCACTGTCTACCTTATTTTCTGCCCTGGGAGGCTGACACACGTGGTTACATTAATACTTTCTTACGTCCTCTGGCTTTGGGCTGGGTTCAGATAATGGGAGCCATTCAAAGGGAGCCAGAAGGACGGCAAGGAAGAGTGAGGTCAGGGTATTTATTCCCCTGGCATCCTCCCTGTGAGGTTGTCTAGGCTGGTTGTATCTCTTGACTGGCTGCTAGGCTTCTCAAGATGGACTGTTCTACATGACTCTCCCCCTCAGGGTTCCTGTAATCTGTCCTTCCTCTTAACTTTGGTCTAGCAATGGTGACCACTAAACCCCTGGGGCCTGGTTACCTGGTTACTACGACTAGCAGCAGGTTACCACTATCCCTGGTGGCTCTCCTACACCCATACTTTTGTAAACAGATTTTTAGTAACTAGGCCCTCCTAAAATTATCCTCCTGAGTCTGCCACCTATTTCTTGTTAAGACTCTGACTGATACAATGGGGACAATTTAGAATGCATTCTGTCACCAGTGCTGAAGGCAGCAGTGCTGGGACAGCATTAGTGCCATTCCCCTGGCCATGGGTCTCATATCGAGTGTTGATCCCTATCCATTTGTAAGCCTTGTTCTCTAGACCTCCCGTTGATTCTGGGACCTGCTCAATAGTGTTCTAATATATTTTTGTGTGTGTGCTTAAGGTGACCAAACCAATTTGGATGTAATTAGCCAAGAGCTGCCATACCTAACAAATGAATTTTACTTACTTGGCACCAAAGAAGCAAATCAGTATAAAAGATCATTGCTTCTGAGGTGGAAACTGTTTTTTTTTAATGTGAAAAAAAATACTATCTTGCATTAACATTTCAAAAACCTACCCTTTAACTTATAATTCAGTATTTCACTGGGTCATTAAAAACTCCATGAAGAAATTAGGAAAAATACTGTTAGATATGAAAAGAAAGGGCTAGAAATTTGTCTGATGTCACAAAGCAAGTTTGTCGTCATGCTGGGGCTAGAACACATCACTTTTTTTTTTTTTTTTTTAAAGAGATGGTATCTCGCTCTGTCACTCTGGGCTGAAGCATAGTGAGACCAATCATAGCTCACTGTAACCTCGAACACCCGGGCTCAGACAACCCTCCTGCCTCGGCCTCCCTAACAGCTATGACTATAGTTACATACCAACACACCTACCCAATTTTCTATTTTTGTAGAGACAGGGATCTTTCTATGCTGCCCAGGCTGGTATTGAACTCCTGACCTGAAGTGATCCTCTCACTTCAGCCTCCTAAAGTGCTGGGATTATAGGCACAAACCACCATACCCAGCCTCAAACCCATCACTTTCTATACTGCCCCTTGGACTTGAGGTTAAACTACTTTATATATTACGGATAATGGTCATTTTTTTATATGATCTCCCTTTCTCTAGTTTTCTTCAGTTTCTACAACAACTCTGGAGATGTTATAAACCTTATAGATTTTGTAAACCTTCACAAATATGACATGAGGGGAAAAAAACTTGCCAGTCTCAGAACTGGTCCTTCATCTTAAGACAAACTATGTGAAAACCTAGGACAGCTTATCAGGACTTTCAATTAATCAACAGGTTGTAAAATGTGCCTTAGAAATTAAACAGAATTTAATTTCTACTGGAAAAAAATTTTCTTCTTACATAATTTATTACATTTTTAACTACTTTTAAACCAATTTGTTCTTTAAGTAGCTATGCGAAGAAGGAGGGCTTAAAACACAACCTGCAACTGTTACCTGAGACAGAAGAAAATCCTGTAGCTCCTGCTCCTGATAAGACAGTGTGATTACTCTTCCATCTCTATGTACAACTCGAATCTGCTCAACTCCAATATTCAATTGCAGTTGAATGGACCTTTATAGACACACATACTAAAAATCAGAGATGTTCAAAATTATCTTATACAATATCATAAATAATAAACCTCAACATCAAATTAAAAATTATTATTATTATTTTTTCAGACAAAGTCTCAGTCTGTTGCCCAGGCTGGAGTGCAGTGGCACGATCTCAGCTCACTGCAACCTCCCTCTCCTGAGTTCAAGAGATTCTCCTGACTCAGCCTCCCAAGTAGCTGGGATGACAGGCACCTGCCACCACGCCCAGCTAATTTTTGTTATTTTTAGTAGAGACGGTATTTCACCATGTTGGCCAGGCTGGTCTCGAACTCCTGACCTGAAGTGATCTACCTGCCTTGGCCTCCCAAAGCGCTGGGATTACAGGCCTGAGCCCCCGTACCCGGCCAAAAAGAAAACGTTTTAATAACCCACACCAACATCCATAGAGGAGATGCAGGGGTCTTCTTAGGTTCAACTAAACAGACTCACCCCAGAATACCATAGACCACACCGAGTACCAGTCTACCCAGAAGGATGTGAAGGGACCACAGCTTGCCAGCAGGCCATGCAACTGTCTATATAGCAGCAGAACACCTTTGCTGCAAGGAGAAGAGATCCACATTGGGTATATGTGGGACCTGCCCTAACAGGAGCCATAAGCTCTTGTAACAACTCCATAGGCATGGTTTCCACAAGCTAAGCCTAGTTTTAAAAGTCACCACTATCCAGGGAAGTCCAAAGGCATTCCCATCAGTTATTTAAAATTTCTCCCGGTTCAGATGCATTTTACCAATTTGAGATCATTTTTACTATAAGCAATGTTGCCTAGTAATACAGATGACATCTTTCCTTAACAGATTTCCAAGGGATTAGAGCCAGCGTTAACAAAGAGCAAATTCTCATACAGAAAGAGAAACGGTTTTGTTAACTCTTTACCTTCTCCTACTGAAAAAACTGGCAAACAAGTCAGAATATATATACTCCATTAAGTTGGCTTAGGCCAAATAAAGAAATTCATACAATAGCCAGTAAATAACAAGCAGATCACTGCACTCTTCCAAAGGAACTTCTAAAATTTCAGCGTGTAATACATCCAAGAAACCTGAAATCCCCTAATAACATAGATGAACAAAATGCAGGAAAAAACAGCTTTATATCCTCTCACATTTGATAATAGCGCTTGTTTCTAACTTTGTTTTAAAGTAAGTATTTTACAATAAAGCATTTTGGTGATTGTCTATATAAAGTTGAAATTTAAAAAAAAAAAAAAAAGATGCCGGGTGCAGTGGCTCATGCCTGTAATCCCAGCATTCCGGGAGGCCGAGGCAGGCGATCACAAGGTCAAGAGATCGAGACCATCCTGGCCAACATGGTGAAATCCCACCTCTACTAAAAATACAAAAATTAGGTGGGCGTGGCGGCACACACCTGTAGTCCCAGCTATTCAGGAGGCTGAGGCAGAAGAATTGCTTGAACCCAGGAGACACAGGTTGCAGTGAGCCAAGATCACACCACTACACTCCAATCCGACGACAGAGCAAAACTCCATCTCTAAAAAAAAAAAAAAAAAAAAAAAAGACAAGGTCTTGCTATGTTGCCCAGGCTGGAGTGCAGTGGTTTTTTCCATGGTGCCATCATAGCGCACTGCATCCTTGAAATCCTGACGTTGAGTAATCCCCTCCCGCCTCAGCCTCCTAAGAGGCTGGGACTTCAGGTGGGTGCAACCATGCCTGGTTTAAGTTGTAATTTTGATGAACTAAAGTTTACACTGTTTTCTCAAAGAAAAACAAAACTCAAAAGGCTTAAAGATATATACATCATACATCTAACAAACATTTTAGAATTCTTTTCTTAAAACAAGGTGTGAAGGAACAGGGATTCTTATCACTCACTGTTGGTGAATGCATACTTGTGGCAACCAATTGAAGAACAATTTGGTAGTACTAATTAAAAATTTAAATGTCCTTATCTTTTCTTTGAGACGGGATCTCACTCTATCACCCAGGCAGGAGTGCAGTGGCACAATCTCAGCTCACTGCAACCTCTGTCTCCTGGGTTCAAATGATTCTCCCACTTCAGCCTCCCAAGCAGCTGGAACTACAGGCATGTACCACCATACCCAGCTAATTTTTCTGTTTTTAGTAGGGACAGGGTTTCACCATGTTGGCCAGGCTGGGCTCGAACTCCTGGCCTCAAGTGATCCGTCCGCCTCAACCTCCCAAAATGCGGGGGATAGAGGCGTGAGCCACCGTGCCCAGCCAAATGTCCTTCTGTTTTAACCCAGCAATTATACTCATAGGACTTTACCCTATAAATGGATATACCTGTATATGTACAAATTATTTGGCTGATACTCAACAAAAATGTTCAGCAACAGAAGACTGATTAAAAGTTTGGGACATATAATGGAATACAAAAAGGCTGTAAGAAAAAAATGAGGTAGACCTATGTGCTAACAAAATAATGTTTACTGACTCATATACTACTACTGAGCAATAAATTGTTTATTATGTGTACCTGTCTGTATTTCTGGACCTTATGGCAACATGAATAATTTTAACTCAGAATAATGCAGAATAATCCATATATTTTAAACCTTGTTAAAACAGTCCACATAAAATAGTCCACATTTACTACTCTGTAAAGCATTTCCTGTATACAGTTTTTCCTAATTGATTCCATTGTATTCTGATCATTAAACCTACCTGCATAAGTTGAACTATTTCAAAAAAATACTACTGAGTTTAAAAAGCACGTAAATTGCAAATGACTGCTAATACGTATAGAGTTTCTTTTTGGGGTGATGGAAATGTCCAAAAATTAGATGATGATGGTTATACAACACAGGGAATACACTAAAAACCACTGAACTGTGTCCACTTTAAAATGGTGAATTTTGTTATGTGTAATATGTTTTTGGAAAGCATACAAAACTGTGTAAGAGAGGTAGGGTTGCATGTCTTCTACATGTATATGTAAAAAAGAACTCTTTTTAAAGAGAGGTAGGGTACAGGAACAGGTAAGTACACAGACATTCCTAGAAAGATGTGGAAGAAACTGTTTTAAATGACTGATCCAAAGGAATTCTGAGAATTATTTTTAACTTTCAACAGCCTAAGTTGAGCCCAGCTGTGATGGTTAATACTGTCAACTTGATTGGACTGAAGGATACAAAGTATTAGTCCTAGGTAAGTCTGTGAGGATGTTAACATCCTCATCCAAAGGAGATTAACATTTGAGTCAGTGGGCTGGGAAAGGCAGACCCACCCTTAATCTGGGTGGGTACAATCTAATCAGCTGCCAGCATGGCTAGAATATAAACAGGCAGAAAAATGTGAAAAGAGAGACTGGCCTAGCCTCCCAGCCTACATCTTTCTCTTTGCTGGATGCTTGCTGCTCTTGAACATCAACTCCAAGTTCCTTAGTTTTGGAACTTGGACTGGCTCTCCTTGCTCCTCAGCCAGCAGATGGCCTATTGTGGGACCTTGTGATCGTGTGAGTTAATACTAAATAAACTCCCACGTGTGTGTGTGTGTGTGTGTGTGTGTGTGTGTGTGTGTGTGTGTGTATATTTTCAATTAGTTCTGTCCCTCTAGAGAATCCTAATACACCAGCTATAGAAGATGAGGAAAAGGGCATTCTACTACTGCCTTCTACTTCTCCTCCACTCCTGATTCTGTCAAGGCTACATCATCACTAACTTTTCTTCATGGAAGTTTAGCACGTTTACATTGGGACCTGTAATCATAATCCCACAGTTTTAGTCTTAGTTCTAAGTATAAACAATTCAATGATGATAACTTTCTCTTTTCCTTCCCATTGCACTCAGTCTCTCTTAACTTTTTACTACAGAAAATTTTAAACACAAACAGTAGGAGGGCAAAAGGCTTATCGGCAAATAAATAATAAACACCAACAGAAGTATAATATAATGAAAGCCTATAATTCCATCACCCAGTCTTAACAGCTAAAAATGCAACCCAAACTTGTTTCATCTATGTTCAACACCTACTTTCTCCCACCCCACCCTCAAATCACCCCAATTATTTTATTATTTCTTTAGACAGGGGAAGAAAACTCTATGACTCCACTTTAGTCCACCATCTTTCTCTGGAAGTTTCAGGACTAGTTTCCTTCCCATTGTGTATTCTCTCATACTCTACATCTGCTCTCACACTTATCTACTATTTTTTCATTTTTTAAGTGAATTAAAACCTCTGCATTAAAAATAGCATTATATTGGGAATGACTGTACATAGGAAAAACTCAAAAAGAAAGAAAAAAATAGCATTATAAAAGTATTTTCTGCCCCTACTCCCAAGGGTCATTATTCCGTGTTTCACAGTATGTTTTGCTTTACTGTGGCTAGTTACGTCTGTCTGAAATAAAGCAACTAAGAAGGGTATGGTAGTGCACACCTGTAGTCCCAGCTACATAGGACACAGAGGCGGGAGGACTGCTTGAGCCCAGGAGTTTGAGATCAGCCTGGACAACAGCATTGTGAGACGCCATCTCGAAAACACAAACTGAGACAAAAAGGAATTAAACTAACTAACACTTTAAAAATAAAACGTAGTCACAGACCCTGACAAATGTCAGGTGTTAAATTTCAAAGAGGCTCAAAAGGTAACCTAAAAAGTCCTTTAATGGCTACTGGCCAATTGTATTAAGTCGTGATTTGTGAATGTAAATCAAGTAGACTGCATTCCTATGAAGGCTGGGGACAAAAACCATCTTACCTCCTTCACAGACACACAGTTATCAACCCAGTTTTTAGGGCATAATCATGAACTGGATTAGACCCAGGATCAACACCAGGTCATGAGAGCTATAAAACTTAGGCTGTTCTAGGCATAACATGCAGTACAGGCTAGAATACAAATGGCCCTATTAACTTCAAATGTACTAGACCTGCCATAGCCATTAGGCAAGAACTGAAGCAGACCTGGAGTCTCAAGAGGTAAGACAGCCTTCTGCTCAGTGCTGGGATTCATTGTTTACCCCAGCTCAAATATGTGACATTTACCTAATAGAGACTAGTTTTTAGACATTCTTACCTCTCATTCTTACAATGTTTAAAAACAGACTTTATGAATTTTCTCCTAATAACTAATAGCCATAAAAAAAAAAAAAAAAAAAAAAACAGTCGCCGGGAGTGGTGGCTCATGCCTGTAATCCCAGCACTTTGGGAGGCCAAGACAGGAGGATTGCTGAAGTCCAGGAGTTCAAGACCAGCAGGGGCAACATAGACCTGTTTCTCAAAAAAAAAAATTTGTTTTAATTGGCTGGGCATGGGGGCACACACCTATAGTCCCAGCTACTCAGGAGGTTGAGGCAGAATTCCTTGAACCCAGGAGCTTGAGGCTGCAGTCAGTTATGAACATCACTGCACTCCAACCTGGGTAAAAGAGTGAGACTCCACCTAAAAAACAAACAAACAAAAAAACACTCTCTTTGGGAGGCCGAGGCAGGCAGATCACGAGGTCAGGAGATCGAGACCATCCTGGCTAACACGGTGAAACTCCATCTCTAATAAAAATACAAAAAACAAAACAAAACAAACAAAAAAACACTCTACAGTTTATACAATTTACAGAAATGTTATGCCACCCTAGCAAATAAAAACCAAATGCTTAATACAATTACTCAGCAAACATCAACATCCATTAACATATTAAATACAAAACTTTTATTTTGGCCACTTACTTGCATATTTGCTCATAGCCTTGTGATGTGATTAAAACTTTCACACTAGATTCATAAACATCATTGATATTTGACCAATGAGCTTGTATCTGAGGATCCTCAATTCGGCTTGCTAAGCTGTCAATGGTTGCAGCAGCTCTTTTAAACACAAGAGGTTAAAAAACTTTTTAACTCACCATACAAAATGATAGGACTATAAATGATTCATCAATGTTATGAAAATTTTAAAACTACTTTTTAAAACTACCACTATGTGTAAGGCAGACTTTAAACGAAGGCAGAGGTAGTTCTAAGAACCCTTTCATACTGCTTGAATGTGTAGATTCTCAGCTTCACACTACAATACACTCTCATCACACACCCCTGATTATCACGATTCATGATAGATTTATTCCCTTTATTCATTTTCTTCCACTCAGAAAAGCTTATCAGGAAATGAATGAGAAGGATATTCGATATTCTAGGGTATAAACCTAATATAAATCATTCATAAATGTCAGTATTTGATCCCTGGTAGAAATGACTTGGGACATACCCACATTTAGACCCATTACTGTAATGAAATTATAATCATATTCAAGAGAAGCTAGAGATTTTTTGCACAATCAAAACCTTATACTCCAAAAAAAAAGAAAAATATCAATACAAACGAGAAATAAGATTCATCAAGTATTCATTATATAGCAAGCATTATAGTAAGTGCTTTCATGAATTATATCATTTAATCTTACTAACATATCATTTAATCTTAACCTTATTAGGTAGGCACTATTATTTCCATTCTTATAAGAGGAAAAACTTTAGCAATGTTAAGCAATTTGCCCAAGGTCACATAGATGTAAACTGGGATACAAAACCTGGGAGTCTAAATCCAGAGCCAAAAACCTGGGAATCTAATTCCAAAGCCAATAATCTTATACACACTAATCAACAGCCAACACTTAGAACCAAAGCATAAATCATTTAAATTAACCAACCCTCAGTTTCTAATTATCTGATTTTTAACATTTTACTGGAAAAAGAAAGAAAAGCCTGGAGGTGGCTCACACCTGTAACCAAAACACTTTGCGGGGACAAGGAGGGAAGATCGCTTGATACCAGGAGTTCAAAACAAACCCAAGCAACGTATCGACAACCAGTCTCTATAAATAAAAAGAAAATTAGCTGGCACAGTGGTGTGCATGAGTAGTCCCTGCTACTCAGGAGACTGAGGCAGGATATCACTTGAGCCCAGCAGTTCCAGGTTACAGTGAGCTTTGACCCCACTACTGCACTGCACTCCAGTCTAGGCCAGAGTAAGATGCTGTCTCAAATTTTTTTTTTTTTTTTGAGACGGAGTCTCGCTCTGTCGCCCAGGCTGGATCTCAGCGGCCGGATCTCAGCTCGCTGCAAGCTCCGCCTCCCGGGTTTAGGCCATTCTCCTGCCTCAGCCTCCCGAGTAGCTGGCACTACAGTTACCTGGGACTACTAGCCACCTCGCCCGGCTAGTTTTTTGTATTTTCTTAGTAGAGACGGGGTTTCACCGTGTTAGCCAGGATGGTCTCGATCTCTTGACCTCATGATCCGCCCGTCTCGGCCTCCTAAAGTGCTGGGAAATTTTTTTTTTTTAAGAGACGGTCTCACTCTATCACCCAGGCTGGAGTGCAGTGGTATAATCTTAGCTCACTGCAACCTCCACCTCCCAGGTTCAAGCGATTCTCCTGTCTCAGCCTCCAGAGTGTAGCTTAGACTACAGGCGTGTGTCACCACGCCTGGCTAATTTTTCTATTTTTAGTAGAAACAAGGTTTTGCCATGTTGGTCAGGCTGCTGTAGAACTCCTGACCTCAAGTGATCTGCCCTCCTTGGCCTCCCAAAGTGCTAGGATTACAGGCATGAGCCACCATACCATGCCCCACCTCAAAATTAAAAAAAAAAAAAAAAAAAAAAAAAATTTAATTTTAAAAGAAAACGGGAAGAAATGAGAAGAGCCAGTAGGCACAAGGGACTTTTACATTAACAGACTTAGGGTTTGGTCTGCTGCTACAGTACTGGCTTCTTACAATACATTCTGAAATTTATTTTCCTTTTTCCTTGGTGTGTTTCCCTGACAGTGCTTCAAAATTCCTATAGAAGATATGTATGTGTGTGAGCATTACAAGAACCGTTAAACTGGAAATAAAATTATCTAGCAATGGAAAATTGGGAAATCATGAAGTATTTATATAATAGGATATTATACAGCTATTAAAATACATTTAAAAACCTTTAATAAAAGATGAAAAACTTTATAATACAATATTAAATGAACGCAAGGTATAAAGTTTTCGTTTGTTCTGGTGTCACCTCTGAGGTATGAACTCAGAAGGATATAAAATTTTATAATCTCTGATTTCGTTTTTAAAGACACACATACACTCTGACATATATACATAAAAATATATTAGCATGTCAAGAGATCTCACAGTGCATGGTATCATACACATCAGTCTTTTTTTCCTTTTTTAACATATGGCTTCGCTCTGTCACCATAACTGGAGCATACTGGAGTGATCACAGCTCACTGCAGCCTCAACATCCCAGGCTCAAGCGATGCTCCAGCCTCAGCCTCCCAAGTAGCTGGGACTACAAGTGCATACCACCACAGCTGGCTAATTTTTTTTATTTTTTGTAGAGATGGGCCATGTTGCCTAGGCTGGTCTCAAACTCCTGGAATCAAGGGATCTGCCTGGCCTCCCTGAATGCTGAGTTTACAGGCATGAGCCACCACACCAAGCCCAGCTATTTTTTAAAAGACTTCCTGGCCAGGCACAGTGGCTCACGCCTGTAATCCCAGCATGTTGGGAGGCCGAGGTGGGCAGATTACTTGAGGTCAGGAGTTCGGGACCAGCCTGGCCAACATGGTGAAACCCCATCTCTACTAAAAACACAAAAATTAGCCAGGCATGGTGGTGCATGCTTGTAATCCCAAATACTCGGGAGGTTGAGGCGGGATGATTGCTTGAACCCAGGAGGCAGAGTCTGCAGTGAGCTGCACCACTGCACTCCAGCCTGGGTGACACAGTGAGACTTCATCTCAAAAAAAAAAGAAAAAAAATTTCTTGTAGAGACAAGGTCTCACTACATTGCCCAGGCTGGTCTCAAACTCCTGGGCTCCTGGGCTCCAGCAAGCTTCCCATCTTGGCCTCCTAAAGTATAGGGACTACAAGGGTGAGCCACCATGCCCAGCCAGGGTCTTTTTTTCTTTACTAAGCTTTTTGCACACCAGAAAGAAGTAACATTTTTAAAGCTTTGCTGCTTCGAAGGCTACACTTACTACTCTGAAATTTATAATGGTTCTAAAAACAGCTATTTTTATGCTGATCATTTATTTTGGGGAATATATAAATTTGTGGTCAATCAGAAATTTGGAAGACTACTCAAATTATCAGCTTTTTAAGTTGAACTGTATTAATGGTAAGAAACAGTAACCTACCATATAATACTTTATTACTTACAAGAAACTTCTACATACATCATGTAATATGACCCTAAGACCCCACTCCTATACCTCCTATTGACAGTGGATTAAGTGGGGGACCATAGACACTAAATCCCTTGCTCGAAGTTATTTAGCAAACGATTGAGCCTTGGCTTACACACCTTTCATCCCTAGTCCCCTACTCCTTTCACTGCATCATGCTGTCTTCTCTAACATGTCTCCCTAATTCCTTTTACTAAAAGTTGAAGGACCTAAATTTCCACTTTAAGACTACAAACTCATGTACTAAAAAAAAACTGTATTAACAAGAAAAAGACTGGAAATCAAAAATAAAATATCATCTATTTAATGACAATGCCCACGCCTGAAATTCTGGAGTACTACCAAGGCATAATTACAAATGAAGTAAAAACAGGCCTTTTCACTAAGTACCAATAATAAAATAGAAAAGCACCCTTTAGCACTGAAAAAGATACATTTATATGTAATCATGCCACGTTATTTTGTAAGCAGTATATATAAAGGAAAAAAAAGAGCTTTGGCATTACATAGACCTGGGCATAAATCCTGGTTCCGCAACTTTTTAGCTGTGTAACGTTGAGAAAGGTGCATAACTTCTTTAAGCCTCAATCTTATCAGTAAAAACAGGGTTAATACTTCCTGCCCCAAAGAACAAAGATTAAATAAGTTAACACGAAGGAAAATGCTCTCCAAACTCTAAAATGTGCAAGAAACAAAACATACAGAAACACTCAAGAAAAACATTTAAATCAGTTCAGAAATAAGTAACTCATGGCTGGGTTACTGAAGAAAGTATAGTGTTGTAAGGCACATTCCTAGTCAGTTGTCTTTGCAAAAAAGTGACAGTGTTAGAAAGAATACTGTTAGATCAGACATAGATCTAAGTCTTCCCCAGACTTGACAGGACCCAGTCTATGACCATAAATAAACTCTTACCACTTCCTCTGCCTAAAATTAAAAAATTAAAGCATCCCAAAAAGGTGTATGAAATAATAGAAGAAAACAAACTGCAATTTCAAAGAAAAAACAGAAAACAGTAACTTTGTTCAACCTTACCTACTCCTTAGAAAAATATGCTTTGCTTGTTTAATTATTTTTTCCAGAAGCCCTTCACTGGACTGTAATGAATTAATTTCATTTTTATCAAAAGCTTGAGGACCTGAAAGTCTCATTCTCTTGTGGCCAAAAGGTGCACTTGCTGGATGAGGCATCATGATGGAACTCAAGGTCTGTTTATGAAACTAACAAAAACAGTCATTTTAAATAACCAATATCCACATTAGTAAATGCTACACAATATTTAATCAAAACATGGCTGACATCTTAGAAACACTGAAAGGAATGGATTTGAACCACATATGAAAACAATCCAACCTTGGAGAAAAATGCTAGCATCTACTAGGTCACACTTAATGCAAGTCTGTAGAGAGAAGGGTCCCTCTCAAGCTGTAACTTTTTTCCTTTTCTCATGTCAGATGGGTAATGCGCCGACATCCTAATAAGGTTTGAGGGAGTCACAACTCACGCATAAGCATGAAAGCCCAATCATGCTTTTGAACCACAAAAGGATCTCAAGCTTTTTTATTTTAAAAGTTTTAAAATATAAAACAATCCTCTTCATTGAGTCTCATAAATAGAACATATACAATCAGTAAATAGTTTTTTCACTATACCCTAGATTAGAGGTTCTCAAACCCGGCTGCCTATCTGAACCTCCTGAGGAGCTTTTTAAAAACAACTCTTATACCATCACAATCAACTGAACCAGGTTTTGGGGTTGGGCAGGAGAGGTTGTAATATATACTTCCATGAAATTTCACAGGATATTCTTTTGAAATTACCCTGGCCTGTGAACCAGCTCCCTGGAAACAGTTGCAGATGATCTACAAGTAGAACATGTCCCAAAATAAAACTAGTCTGTTCACAGACTCTGGCAAGACATTTTCCCTTACCTCCCCCAGTCAGAATCACCCTTCCCTCTGCACTTTAGCACCATGTTTCTTACACCTCTACTTTAAAACCTGTATACCTCTACCACTAGAAGGTATGCTTGGGAACAGGGACAGTATTCTGATTATCTCTATTCCCCTAGGAAACAGCAAGGATCTTTCATACCAGACAATGAATGTTGGTGCTATGTGAATAATCAAGACTCAGCAGAGGAGCGGGATGCTTTGTGCATACTCACGGCCCTGGACATGCTCACCACAGTGCAAAGAAAAACATTTATTTCCTTACCTCTCTAATCAGTAGATGCAAATTATGCTCTAGGACATAAAGGTGGTCCTCTGGACATTGCTTCTCAGTAGTAGATTTTTGGGATTTCTTATCATTTGAGGAATGGCACAAAGAAATAGATAACTGCAAGTCTATTTATAAAAAGGAGGAGGACAGATGTAAATAACCTGAAATATGGAAAGGTACAAACTGTCTTCATAAAGTATAATCATAGCTCATTTTCAAAAGGTATATTCTAAACTTGAAGATCAGACCTTATGATTAACATCTGTATATCAAGATTACTATTCGGCTGGGTGCGGTGGCTCACGCCTGTAATCCCAGCATGTTGGGAGGCCAAGGCGGGCGGGTCACAAGGTCAGCGGATCAAGACCATCATGGCCAACATAGTGAAATCCCGTCTCTACTAAAAATACAAAAAAATTAGCTGGGCATGGTGGCGTGTGCCTATACTCCCAGCAGCTCGGGAGGCTGCGGCAGAAGAATCGCTTGAATCAGGAGGTGGACAGGTTGCAGTGAGCCAAGATCACACCATTGCACTCCAGCCTGAACAATAAAATGGAAACTTTATCTTAAAAAAAAAAAAAAAAAAACTATTCATGAATACAATAAACTACCATGTATTTTAACAATTCAAATTCTGTTGACATATAATACGGCTGCTGCCCTTGAACTGTGGCTAAAGACTGGTGAAAAAGCTATATATTAATTCGTTTTTTCCTTTAAAATAAGAGTTGGTAGTCAGTCTTACTGCGTAAAAGACAGTCTTCCCTGCTCCCATGAGAAGTAGGATGGAATTTCTCACTGCTAAAACCTACTTCCTTCTAAAGACGACAGTCCTTAGAATTCACGTAAAAAACAAGTGCAAAGCTAAATACAAACTGATCCCCAGGGCAAGTCTACCTGCTTTTGAATAATACAATGAAAATCCAGTTTCTACAAATTTGAGACTATTATAAGTAAACTCTTT